GAATGGGAGGAATAATATGCAGGAGATGATCAGACGTCTAACAATTTTACAGGCTTTCCTCTGGCCCATCATAATAAATCTTTGAACCATCCATGGTTCATTTTTTTCTATTCTGACATTTAGATATTTGTTCAAACATCCATTTTAAGCTTCTAGAGCTTTTGTTTGATCCATTTTTTATACCAAGAGAAAAGGTATGAACTCATTTCAGAGATTGTCTTTCTGCCCTGCACATTTAGGATTCCCCCACAAGATGGCACAAAACACAAGTGAGTTGGTAGTCAAGGTGTGGTTGTCTGTGTGAATACATGTACTAGGAAAACCTAAAGAACTGGTGAAAACACTGTTGACTGAGTATTGTGCGTGCGTGCATACGTGCACACACAAACACACACACACACACACACACACACACACACAGGAAAACTCATGCCACAAGTAATAGTTACAGAAAGAGAAAGGCTACTTGGCAGAAAAGTAACTGCCATGCTCTTGTTATGCTTATTTAGGGATAGGCTATGAACAGGACGGTCTAGTTGATTTGACCCTGACAGCTAAAGTACGTACTTTTTAATCCCAGCGCCATTTAGGGTGGCCAGATTCAAAAGAGGCCAGGGATCTTGCACTTTTAAAAGTTTAGTATTCAAGGAAGTTTCAGCCGATGTAGCTTGTCATGCAAGCTACACATTTAGTTCTGCCACTGTCCATTGTTTACAGTTTTCTGAGGTAGGGGTTATGTTTAGGCATCCCAATCATAAAGTGCATAGGAGTGCACCAGTAGCAGCCGGCGGAGGCAGGTGGCGTTGCTTACCTGGCATCCCAGTGCAGAGAGGTTTTTGCTGGTAACCAAGGAGGGGGAGAAGCGATGGGCACACCTGCACAATGTTAGCCTGGAGCCTGTCTGCTGCTGCTGTGATCACCAACCTCCATGACACCTCCACCTTAGGAAGCCAGGTGAGAAATACCAGCCCAACCTGCTCTGTCTGCTGGTACTAGAACTCACATGTTGGCCTTTCACTTCAGACAACTGCAAACAATGGACAGTTGGCCTTTCATTTCAGAGAACCATAGACAATGCATGGTTGTCTGAGGAAGAAGGTAAGGTAAAAGTAAAGGTAAAGGGACCCCTGACCATTAGGTCCAGTCGTGACCCACTCTGGGGTTGCGGCGCTCATCTCGCTTTATTGGCAGAGGGAGCCGGCGTACAGCTTCTGGGTCATGTGGCCAGCATGACTAAGCCACTTCTGGCGAACCAGAGCAGCGCACGGAAACACCGTTTACCTTCCTGCTGGAGCGGTACCTATTTATCTACTTGCACTTTGATGTGCTTTCAAACTGCTAGGTTGGCAGGAGCTGGGACTGAGCAATGGGAGCTCACCCCGTCACGGGGATTCGAACCGCGACCTTCTGATCAGCAAGCCCTAGGCTCAGTGGTTTAGACCACAGCGCCACCCACGTCCCTTTGAGGAAGAAGACATGATGCCTATATAGTATATAAATAGTTTGTGAGCAGGGCTTTACTCTCATGCATGCAAACATATAACACAAGGACCTAGAGCAGTAACCTACAGTAACCTTTGTGTTATTTAAGAATATATTTTAAAATGAACACTTGTCTATATAGTGATGCAATGCTATTTTGGATGTGTTGTGGGGGAGTTTTCTGCCTGGCCTCATTTCTACACCTGTGGATGATGTTTCAACAGCTGCTGGGGCCGGGGAAGGTTTTAGCACTGTTCAGGCATTTGGTACCTGTGAGTACCTGCAGGTACCAAATATGTAAAGAGACTTTCTGGAATACACGCTGCCACCGGCGCTCCAGTGACATTCTGAAGGAGGCTTCCTACACAGGAATGGGAACTCTGGTTGTTCAGAGTTATCATTGCCCCGGAAGGTGCCTTGTATATGTGCATATGTGCAGGCCCCCTTTGGACTGTCACTGATCACACATTGAAATCTAGGGAGTGTGTGTTATAGATGGTTCTTCCATATGCTTGGTAATCATATGCTTGGGTAATGAGTGCCTAAAAATATCTGACACCTCTCTCTTCATGACCTAGGCCAGCTGTATCTGGTCCTCCAGATATTGTTGAACTTCATCTTTCATCATTCCTGGTCACCTGGCTTGGTGGGGCCGGTGGGAGCTGTGGTTCAGCAACACCTGAAGAGCCAAAGGTTCCCCACACCTGACCTAGGCAATGTACTCAAAAGCCACAAGAAGCTGCCACATCGCACAGTTTGTCTATCTAACTGAACGTTGTCAACTGTGACTGGCTCTAGACATCCAGGATCTGAGGCAGAGTCCTTTCCCAAAACATGCAAGCTGATCTTTGTTTCACACAGAGATGCGAAGATTGAACCTTCCTTGTGCAATGTGCTCTACTACTGAGCGGCAGGCCTTTCTTCGGAACAGTGTCTCCCTGACATTGAGGAGTGCTAAAGAGGAGACCACCTCCCCTTTCCCCCTCTTCTGTTCCATTTTCCCCTTTTCTTTGAAGGCAGTCGCCTCACATCTTTTCTCTACAGATGGCAAAGCAGCTGTGTGTGAGTTTGTGAGAGATTTTTTTGAGAAGACAAACGGTGGACAAGAAAAAAGTTAAGCATCCCCTCCCTCCCATTGGTCTTCCAGCCATCCTTGAGTGCCACCTGCTGCAGTGGCTTTGCATGAAAGCAAGGGGAAACGATCACAGAGCGGAGCATAATGTGCAGCTTTCTCCCTCAGCTTTAATAGCCATAAAATTAATAACCAGGTACAGTTTGCCCAGCTCATAATGCTTGACTGTATTTTAGAGCAAGCATCGTTTCCCCCCAGGCATTCTTCTCAGGTTCAAAATGTTCTGGGCATGTGCAGTCAGCATTTGACAGACGAAGTAGATAAGACCAGCCGCTTTGTAGGTAGAAGCAGGAACTGTGGCTTTTTGACTGATATATTGGCATGCTACGCTGCATTTCATTCGCAGCAGTGGGCATGGTGCGAGACAACAATGCATATCTCTGGACAATATTGCTGCTTCCCAACCCCTTCCACACCCACCCTTCTGCAGATGTGTGCTTCTGTTCCCCCGTGATTCCCCCATGAAAATGGCAGGAAGGAACTGTATGATGGTATAACACCACAACTTTTGTCACTTTGCTGGGTTAATGGCATTGCAAGAAGTTTTTTTTTGGGGGGGGGAGTAATACAGATGGAAATTAGTGCTAAACTCTGCCGTATTTTGCTAGATTTCTGGAAGTATTTGTGTGTAAGCTCAAATATATTAAGTTAGGGAAATGTCAGCGAAGCTGGAAAAAAACCCTGGTCATGTGAATGCAGCCTTACTGATCTCTGAATTTTGACATGCAGTTCTCCAGCAAAAAGGTGTACAAAAGTGCAGTTATTAGGAGAGAGTCTGAATAAAAAATGCATATATTAGTGAAAGTAACTTACAAAAATGCAGTATATTAGGGAAAATTGTATAGAAGCATATGTCTGTTGGGAGAAATGTGCACCAAAATGCTTATGAATTTTTGTGAGGATCCTTTTTTTTAAAAAAAACAACAACAACGAACTGATGTGGAGATGTGGCAAACTGAACTGAAGATTGGAAAAATGTGAAACTGAGAGAAAACAAAATGCACCTTTCCTGATTGCTATGAAACTGTGTGAACTCTTCATTATGGGTGTGAATTATGTGATAAGATCACTTGATGAAACAACCTTTTGTTGAGTGGGTGTCTTTTCTCTTTGAAGCGATTCTCTTGATCGGTACTTGCAAACATTTTGCAACCTTCTTTTTCCCCATCCAGATCTGAAAACCCCTCTAGTTCCTGGCTGTTTGTCTGGAGGAAAAGGGTTGAGTTTCCAAGTAATTCTGTACTCGTCAATGGTGTGATTGTGTGCAGGGCAGAGGAAATCAAACTACAAATTTCAGGGTTTGATGTAATGATGTAGATGTGCGCAGCACTGTTCTCACACATGCACCACTATGATAAAGCCAAGAGAAAAACAGGCTAGGATTTTTCCGAGTGCTTGCTGACAAAGCTCATAAACACTGAGATGATTCCAATCTCAGCAAGCAAATGCTGAATGCTTTTGAATGCTTGCTGAGAAAATTCATAAACAGAGCAAATTCTCAGCTAATGCAAGTGAAGTTTGCCCATCCCTGGCCATAAGTAACTGGTCCTCTTGTCTACTTGGATCATCAGCCAAAGGTACCTTTTTCCTAATGACTCCCAAGCTGATGATACCAATCATGAAGGATCATGATAATGAGGAGATAGGCTCTAAGATAAGTGGGGCTCAAACTGCTTTGAGCTATATATCAAAGGCACAACACCATATTGTGTTCAAAAACTACATGGAAGTAGTGAACGTTGAAGATGGTCTCAAAACTGCAGCAGGTGCAGAATGCTGTGGACTGGTTGCTGTCGAGGGAACTGAGGACTCAAGAGGGATCGTTTCAGCCCACTCCTGTTTGTAAGAGACATAAGACATGGCATCCTTGGTGGCATTGCCATGTTTATCAAACTCCCACCCAGGAGACATCTGGCTGACACTTCACAACAGAAGTAGTTAAGTGACAGCTAAAGGCATGAATATCTGCCCACACTTTCAAGGCATGAATTTGGCTTTTAGTGGGGTGGCACCATGGATCTGGTTGCTTCTCATCCCTGATTGAGTGACGGTCTGTGATTTTAATTATGGTTTTCTTACCATATGGCTTTGCTTTATTATTCATGCTGCTAACCTCCCTGGTCCCCTGGTGGAGGGAGGATGGGATATGACAACTGTGAACAAATATTAAATAAATATTGTGAAACCTGGAATTTACCGTGTATACTCGGGTCTAAGCCGACCCGAATATAAGCTGAGGCACCTAATTTTAGAACAAAAAACTGGGAAAACTTATTGACTCGAGTATAAGCCGGTTCACCACACCACAAACCTGGTGGTAGCGGCAGCGGTGGAGGAAGAAGCTGCTTTTGGGCAGCTTGTCCCTCCGCCGCCGCCTCTGCCGCTCGCAAGAGCAGGCACAGGAGTCGCAGTTGGGAGAGGTACAGTGCAGCGCCTCTCCCAACCGTGGCTCCTGTGCCTGCCCTTGCGAGAGGGGGGCGGCGGCGGGGGGACCAGCAGTGAGAAAGGGCTCCTTTCGGGCCACTCATCCCTCCGCCGCCACTGCCCGCCTCACTTGAGTATAAGCCGAGGGGGGCTTTTTCAGTATAAAAAATGTGCTGAAAAAGTCGGCTTATACTCGAGTATATATGGTATGTCCATAAAGGCCATTTCAAAGAACTGGAATGGATAAATACTACTAATCTGTTAATGGGCAGCCTGGGGTCTGGTACAGCCAAAGGAGTAAGTCTTTTGTTTTTGGGTTGTTGTTATTTTGCCTGTTTTGTTGAGGACTTTTTTTTCAGACAGCTGTGAAGCAGATGCAAAGGCTTTATCACACACAGGCTGGCCCTCATGTTGCTAATTTGTTCGCATCCTCACTTTGAGGAGGAACTGTGGCAATGACAGGCCTCCATGGCAAATCACAAGACTGTAAGCAGCAGCAGCAACAATTCTTACTGTCTGATACTTTTGCTTCTGAAAGTGGCCAGCAGACCTTTTATTCCTATGTCTTCTCCTCTCGGGAGCCAAATGCTGATCAAAGGTTTACAGGGCAGGTTTAACCCCCTGCCTTTCTAGAAGAGCTTGATGCATTTCTTCAATTGTAAATATTGGCTTGTTCCTCAAACATGCCCATGACTTTCATTTCACACCAATGGCCTCTTGATGTTTCCCCGTGCTAAAAAAAGCAACATTCTTTTAACAAGTAAGTTGTGAATGCTTAAGCCACAATTTAAATATGCCATCTTCAACTTATGGCTGAGATATGCATTCTTTCATATGAAAGAGAATGAGTTATAGCCTCTCACAATAATGTTACTAATCACGAGAAGCTGTAAATTCTTCACTTTTGTGGGACTTTCTGAACAACCTGACAAAGTCAATTCTTTCCCATAAATGATAATGTGATAATAAAATTGTTGGCCATTAAGGCTAAAGTTTCAAGTGAATTTTAGCAAATCTGCAGGAGGCAGGTTTCAGATAAATGAGTCAAACAAAGTCATAAGTCATAAGTATTGTCAAATAAAATTGCACTTCACTGGAATAAGTGTTTTTTTTAGCTGATCCTTTTTTGGGCTGGTGATTTTACTGTGAAATTCAATTAAATTTGTGTAAGGAAAGTATAGTGCCGGTAGCAGTACAGTTATTAGTAGAGCTGGATGAATCTCTCAGTTCAGTTATTTCAGTTTCTCCGCCCCCTACTTTTAAACTCAGTTCTCTGCATTTCTGCAATAATTTGGGATTATTCTTTTTCTAAAAAAAATCCTTATGAAAATTCTTTAGCACTTTAATGCAAATTTCTCCCAATAAACACATTTTTTGTATACAGTTTGACTAATAGAGACACTTTTGCATTAACATTAATAATAATAATAATAATAATAATAATAATAATAATAATTAGTACCCTGCCCATCTGACTGGGTTTATATGTAGTTTCCTCCAATAAATGCATTTCAATGCTTTCCCCTGAAAGATGCTTCTTGTACACCTTGTTTAGCTGGAGAATGACACTGCAAAAATCAGAGGATTGCAGATTTAGGATAGCTGGGTCTTGGTTCATGTATTGTTCCGAGAAGTCTAAATTAGGTAATATTTCATTAAAATGCAAACAAAATTTATTTTCTCCTCCAGTCCTAAGTCCTAATACTACTAACAGTAACAGCAGTAGTGATGCAGATACTAACATCCTACCTGCTTTTCAAGGAATCCTTCCTACCGTTTTAAATTTAACACCAGAATGGCCAAAATAGATGAACGCTTGATGCCTTTGGATTAGATGGGTTCTTATTAACAATAAATATTCCAGCCTCCAGCTAGTATTGCAGCAAAGGTCAACACAAAGAACTTCTTAGTTACCCCTCGGAAAGCCAAGACAAATGGCTAAAGTAATGAAGTTGTTCTCATTTGTGCTGAAGTAATGAAGCTGTTCTCTCAGGACTCCATGCCAGTGTTCTGTGCTACCATGACAGAAATTGCTCCATTGCTTAGCAAAATTGATGCACCCCTTTGGCAGCTGCAGCAGGGATCTTTTTTCCCTGACAGCTGACCTTCAGGTATAGCTCTTTTGCTTGGTTACGAGTGATTTCTTCTGACAATCATCCTTTCCTAATATAATTTAAAGTGGAGAGAAGAGACATATTTTGATTGTATTGTTTTTAAAAAGAGCTTAATAACAAACTTCAAAGCTAGCTTTCTCCATTTCCGCTGAGTGCATCTGGATTCCGTCCACCCAGCAGGAGCCTAGTACAAGGAGTTTCTTAATTTATGACCCATCACTAGCGATGATGCAATCCAATACATTCATGCGCCTCTAAGCCTTATGGCACAATCCACTCAGAAGTCTTCATGTGCGACTCCCTTTGAAGTAAATTGGATCTCTGGAAGGGCACAGAAGAAATTCTGAAGTATTTTTGTCTTGTGGTGTCTTCTTTTTTATTTCTGAACTGGTTAGCCTGTTAATATAAGAACAAAAGGAGGTTAGGTTACCAAGCACCATGACCAGGGGGCTCTTTAAGACTTGCCGCTCACTGAATTTAACAGCCACATTGGAGAGATACTTCAGGATCTTTTTATCAAAGGAAGGTTTGGTGGAAATGACCTCAGGGTCTCCAACTGGAGGCATCAGTATATTTAGTAACTGACTTAGAACATCCACTGACTTACTAACAGCACAATCATTATCCTATCTATGCAGGTCCAGAAGTATGCCCCACTGAGTTGAATGGCACTTACTCCCAAGTAGGTGTGTCTAGGATTTACAGCCTAATACGAATTATGCTGATAAAGGAGGCCTGCTGACTAAAGAAAGTCTTCAGCAAAGATTTGGGAAAGTCTGAATACTTCTACTTGGAAAATATGCATATGTCAAACAGAGTTGAGTAAATTTAGAACGAAAAGTCCAAGGTTAGCTAACTGTGCATGGGGAGGTTATTTTGTGGAAATCCCTGATTTGATCTGCATAGGGACGTGGGTGGCGCTGTGGTCTAAACAACTGAGCCTTGGGCTTGACGATCGGAAGGTTGGTGGTTCGAATCCCCACAATGGGGTGAGCTCCCGTTTCTCGGTCCCTTCTCCTGCCAACCTAGCAGTTCAAAAGCACATCAAAGTGCGAATAGATAAATAGGTACCACTCCAGCAGGAAGGTAAACGGCGTTTCCGTGCTTTGCTCTGGTTTCGCCAGAAGCGGCTTAGTCATGCTGGCCACATGACCCGGAAAAACTGTCTGCAGACAAATGTCAGCTCCCTCGGCCAGTAAAGCGAGATGAGCGCCCCAACCCCAGAGTTGTCCACGACTGGACTTAACTGTCAGGGGTCCTTTACCTTTTTTCTTTGCCTGATTTGATTTGCATCCAAGTGGTGATGTATCTTTCACGTGTTTTAATAACTACATATGGTTTTCATTGCAGTCAGGTTGGCAATAACCCCACTTTAAACTTTCTCTTCATACCATGTTTTATACCAGTGGGGTCAAAATTTAGGCCGCCCTGAGAAAATAGCCCTGGTGTTGGGAGGCAAATGAGCATTTAGAATTAAGGAATGGTGGGGTGCATAGACTCAAGCCAGTGATTTGAACTGAGCTCATGGTTAGGCAAGTGTGCTCCTATTAGCACAGTCACAAAGTCATCACTTTGCTGTGGCCTCTTTTCATCCCCACTGAGGCATCAGTGAAGCCAGTGTTGGGAGGGTGGAATTGCTCCCTCCCCATACCCTGCTACTGCCCATACTGGCCATCAGAGAAATGACACTAAATGTGACCCATGTGCTGTCAGGAAGGAGGCCAGCTGCATCAGATATTTTTCAGCTTCTTTTTCCACAACCATTACTTCGAAGAAAATAGGTTTTTTTTAAAAAGACAGGTTCTATACGACTCTAATAATACCAAGATTGTAAGACAAAAATCAAGTTCATTTTTTTACCCTTTCCTTTTAAAACTACATATATATTGTTCTGTTACAACAACACCCCCCTGCCCAGTTTCATGTCACCCAGAAAAGACAATGAAAGTAGATTGATCAGCTTCTCTTTCAGTTTCCAGTTGGTTTCATTGCCCACTTCTTATTCGCTTTGCAAAAGCTCTAGGGGATGGATTCTCAGCTCTGCCACAGAGTGTTTAAATGCCCCCTAAAACCTCTTTCCATTTAATTTAGCTTTTAAGTATGCCTGAAATATACTCTGCTCATATTAGGTTTGACAGCTGCAGGTGATAAATTCATGGCTGATGTAATTCCATTGAAGCTAGTAATGGCATTTCGCTTGGGACATATTTGGCCTGAAATGTCTATTGGCTGTGTTCAAGTGTTGTTGGGTGTATCTCTATGGGTGATTCTGATGTTATTGACTCTGCAATTGTCAGAGATAATGACACTAATCAGGTTTATTTACTTTGCTATATGCTACAATGTTCCGCTGGCTTCTCAAGCAGCAAAGCGATGGTGATGCCTAATGGCTCTTGATATGCACAAAGCAATTAAAAAAACATTGGAAATGCCTCCCTTAAGTGAGTGGAGGAAAGGAAACAAATGATCTGGTTTCATTTATTTATTTTTTCCTGGGGAAAATGGGTAGTACGTAAAATAAAATAAACAGAATTGCAAATGTAAACCACAGTGAATAATGTATCCCATTAAGAGTGCCCCTTATTGCTGCTCATGGAATATTCACAAAATAAAGCAAGGCTTCCTTGGGGGCATCCATCATTTGAACCTGGCACCTCAGCTCAGATTGGTTTTCCTTTATGGTTTTTGAACAGGCACAATGGAAAAACAGAGCATTGTTTCTTAGTTATAAATGGCTTGATAAGTCACACCAGAGTGATGCCATTCTCCAACTGATGCAGTGTAGATGAATGTTTTAAAATTGAATTTGAATATAAATTTCCAGGTTGCACCCGCAAAGCCCATGTGGGGTCAGGAGTGCATTCAGAAGAAGACATCTTCACTAATGATTTATAGTCTCATGTTATGGGAGTGTAATCTGCATCCGCTCA